TTATCATTATTTCGCAGAGAGTGTGTGCCATGAAAATGAATGACGCATGCAAATGATGATCCTTTGGTAAGATGTTAGTATACACTGCGCTCGTGTCATACGCACGTTCGGTTCAGGGATATGAACGTCCTTACCAAATATAGTTTAGTATGCCTATTATGATAATATAATTGTAGTGTCAGTTAATTAGACATTTGAATAAATATTCAATTATTGTATCATACAGCTTCGGAATGAATTTCTAATGAAAGGAAAACTTATAATATATATATATATGACGTTTGAAGTTATTGGAGTTATGTAATGTGGCTAACCTACTTGTCTTGCGAAAGAAAAAATACATTGTTATCACATCACGTAACTCGTGTCGATACTACGAATCTAAAAGACCACCACAGCAAGACACTTAACAAAAGCAACAGAAACACCACAGCAAATGGAGAGAGAAATAAATGATACAGAAGGTTAAACACTCCAGTCACCAGATGTGACTTCCGTCATCATTTCTCCTGTCACCACCTATGGAACCGTCGTCTTATCTTATGTCACCACATGTGGCACCCTTAATAATGGCAACTGTCACCGCGTGTGGTACTCATCATGTCTCCTGTCAAAAGCTTACCAAAGATCAGTGGTCATTAATCACAGCAAAAAAATATTTTTTATTTTTATTGTTTGAAGTCAAGTAGATATGACGATAATTAGACTTCTTCAATATATAAAGCGCCTGTCATTAGAACATGCCGACTTATCAATTGTTGGTCTGCATAATTCTATATTTCACGAAAACTCTTCTATATTTAATTGTTTTACTTTTGATATGAAGTTGAGAGAAGACTTTCATATATCCAGTCTCGTTGAATTGCAAAATTCAATGCAAACATCTTCCGAAACTGCAGTTATAGAATATAATGAAGTCAGATGAAAAAAACATGGGGCGCAATAATTATCAACACATAAAAGCTTGCATAACTCGCAGGTAATGCTGTAATTATAAATATTTGCACAATCTCCAAACTCATTTCGTATTGATAATACATTTATGAAAGATATTTTACATTACCAAAAAAGGCTAAAATTGTCTTGCAAACGTTTAGAAAAGAGGTTAGTGACGAAGAATCACGATTCATACGGATTTTAAAATGTACAACATATCAAGGACGCAAAGTCGTGGTACAAAGTTGATAAACAGTATTACATAAAATGTCGTCTATGTAAGCCTGTCACGGCTGTATAGTCATGTGTTCTCAAAGGTCAGGCAATTGTTGAAATTCTGGAAATAATGAATTAGTTATTACCTAAGGCAATGAAAAAACACAATAGCTGGGTGATTGAGTGAAAACTACTCTGTTTCCTTCAAATAAAACCGGTGAACCTTTCAGACACTGAGTTCCCAGTAGCTGTTGTTTGTGAAATTTGTAACTTTGCTAAGGATGTAAACAACAACAACTTTCAATATCTGTTACTTTTGTTCCTATTGGTTTTCTAAAAACCAACTTAATACATAGATTGTGTGAATGTGCCTTGATTTATGTGCGGGAGATATTTTGTGTGGTCCCCAGGTATAGTTACATCGTGTCGAGGTTAGAGACTGCCCTCCCAGTAGGCTTGGAACACTTGTCACTTCTTGCATAAACATATGACAAGATAAAAAATATGATAAAATGCATGTGTTTGTTATCCATTTTCCACATCCGTAAGGAGGGCAGGCAGATAGCAGTAGTAACTTCCTGTAATTCTAGTCGCTTTGTTTGTTTTTTGTTTGTATTTTATTGGTTTTTTTCTTGTTGACCACACTTTTGTCATCACTTTGTAAACACCCAGTAGATAACTTGTGTTTATCGATAGGAAAGTGCGTCGCACATAAACAACGTTCTTGACTGTACCAATATACAACTTATATACAAATCTATATATGTTGTGTGTGGGAATATCTTTATAAATAGAAGTGGTATTAGATGAAATAGAAAAGATTTTTTCACCACTTAGCACGATTGTCTTTTCTACTCATATGTAATCGTAAAAACAGTATAAAAACAATATACCGTACAAAGATCATTTTTGAGATTTAAAATGACAAGTTATAAATATTCGATAAATTACCTATTTGGATTCAAAATAAAAACTTCAATTGTATTTTTAACTTCCGATTAGATATTTGACGGCCTTCCATATACCAGAGCTCAGACCCTTTAGAAAGTTATGAAAACGTTATGAAATTACTTTGTACTGTGTGTATCCTGATTATTAGTTTTTCAATGCAATAAAACGAACAGAATTGCAACAGCATTCATAAGGAAGCGGCATGGATACATGTATGGTGATTAAAGTCTTATGGACAAGGCAACTTCGTGTCGTAGAAAAAACATATTTCTTGGTAATTTATTAATACAGTACAGTTGAACCTCGTTATCCCGAACTCTTTTAACTCGAGGACCCCGTTTTTCTCGAAGTATTTTTCCATATGTATATGTTCCGCATCAAACGAATAGTGTTAGATCTGAGCTCCTTGCGCACCTCTCCTTCTGTTTCAACTGTAGTTTTGACTTATTTGGATTTCGAACGTTTCAGACCCTACCATCCCCGATCCTAGAAGGACAACACAGCTGTATGATACGGTGTAATTCATTTCTTTGATATAGTATCGCTTAACCCTTTCACCACTGTAGACCATAATGGACTGATCCAAATCAATGCATGGTAGAGTCTACTAAAGTTATATAGGGGTGAAAGGGTTAAAGTTTAAAGGTGCAGTCACATGTGTGTGTGTTACTCCATTTCTCCAAAGCCATCAATCGTGATTTAACGGTGGTGTGTAAAGAAACAAAACGTTTTAATAAAATATTGTCAATTAATGAGGCTGTCATGTCGTCAAATGAACAAATAACAAATATAGAAGCTAGGGATCGCCGCAAACATGTGGATGCTGATTTTTAATAAAAATGAAAATCCTTTCCACAAAATGTATTTATTGGGACCGAACGTTTTACTTTGTTACCTACCATACTTCATACCAAACATAAGGAACGCCTTCGTTCTCTTCCTGTTCCAAGAAAGCAAACAAGGTGAGGATACAAACATCTGGTATATATTTTAGAGAATTGCGGTTGGGGGCACCCGATAAAAGCAAAGCTGAAAAATACTAAGGATTGATAAAAAGAATGCTAGGATTCATTGATACCAGTATGTTTAAATTTCGAGTTCGATGACAAGATAACATTTCCCGGCATCAATGGGAACAAACTGTGTCACTCTCTTTGTCGACCTGTTTTATCTTTTTTTCAGATGAGATTTAATTTGGCAAAAGACTACTCAGGATTGGTAACATACATCTTGTCAAGTTCTTCGATTTCGTTTTCAATATCACATATTTTCAATATGTGTTGTCTTAAAATGATCGCGAACGGTTTTTATTATTACACCACTTACTATCTCATCCACGGTGTTAACACATCGCAGTTGATTTGACATTCATTGGCTTGCTCGGAATATCACGATTACCGTGAAAGTTGTCGAATGCTGTCGAACAGACCTACAACCCAAGGTTGGGCAATATACAGGTTGATAAAGATAAGAGGCAACCTTTACAGTCGCCATAATTGTGCTGTAAATGAGTGTGACTTGTAGTTTTGTTTTCCCTGCCCCAGTTCTGACATTGAGAACGTGACATTACTAGAACTTGACGTTGATTTATATAGCGCGTTCTCCTTGTACGGATCTAGGGTCTCCGTGCAAATCATTTCAATTCGTTTGTCCTAGTTTCATTGATTTAGTGTTCGAATCACGATGCTGTTGACCCTAAGATATCAACATATCATTTTTGCCAATGCAATTATGATAGCTCATTCTTGACTTATAAATACAGGTACATTGTACTTAAATAGTAAACACGTTCGTAAGAGATGTAAGTATCGTGAAAGAATGTTGGAACGCATTCCTCAGATACTCGGTACTTACTGTCACACCTGTTAATTTTGTAATTAGGTTGTTTACCGTGACGTTTAGCTTGTTCATCATTTTGTATCCTTATAATCGAAATAGTGAATAGACGTTTGCACAGCACGTTTAGTATTTAAATTGTAAAACTGTGGCAGAATACTTGTCAGTAAAACGAAATTAACCTATATAACGTTAAATATAAAAGTCATAAAACAGATACGTGTAGATTCTTGCGCAACAGCAAGTATTTCGAGGGATGTTAAATAGTACATAAAGATGTTAACATATAACAAAATGAATTAGCTGCAAAGTTAAATATATTATTGTTCGTGTCTTCTATAAATGCAAAATGATTTAAAGTTTCCGCCCGACAGATTTGTTCAACACTTTCCGAATTCGATTAAGTTATTCACATCTTTTTGCAAAGTGGCATTGTGGTTCATTTTGATTTTTAAAATATGTCGGGGTTTTTAGGCGTCGAGTATTAGTTCATCATCAGTCTGCGTCTGATAGACGCCAGTCTACAAGGTCGTCGATCGCCTAGCAGCCATTAAAACATACACGACCTTGTGTGTTGACGCTATGGTTTATCTTCATGTCTGTGTTTTTGCATACCGACATACTTCCAGGGAATTGACAGAACACATCATGACGAATGTCACAGCTAGAACTTGATAGTTTCCCCATGCGAACTGCCAGGGGTTTTCTTCCGTGACGTTGAAGGTTCATGAAGTTTTCCTTTTACTTTTATTCTGTCTCAAAGTTCAGTTTCGGTTTTGTTTGTCCTTGCGTATTGTCTTTGTTGCTATTTCTGTCCTTTTACATGTATGTTGTTGCTTTTCATATCTGTCCTATTATTTTGCCGTTATACTGTGTCTTTCTCATTTGTCGACGTACTATGTCCGAACTTGTATATTGTCGCTGTACTATGTGCGTCTTCATGTGTTTTCTCCGTACCAAGTGCGTCCTTATATGACGTCTCCCTACTATGTCTCTCCTTATGTGTCGTCTCCGTACTATGTTCATTCGTCCTTATGTGTCGTCTCTGTAATACGTTCCTCCTAATATACCGTCTCCGTACTATATCCGTCCTTATGTGTCGTCTCCGTACTATGTTCCTCCTTATGTGTCATCTCTGTAAAATGTTCCTCCTTATATGCCGTCTCCGTACTATATCCGTCCTTACGTGTCGTCTCCGTACTATATCCGTCCTTATGTGTCGTCTCCGGACTATGTTCCTCCTTATGTGTCGTCTCCGTACTATGTTCCTCCTTATGTGTCGTCTCCGAACTATGTTCCTCCCTATGTTTAGTCTCCGTACTATATTCGTCCTTATGTGTCATCTCTGTAATATGTTCCTCCTTATATGCCGTCTCCGTACTATATCCGTCCTTATGTGTTGTCTCCGTCCTATATCCGTCCTTATGTGTCGTCTCCATACTATGTTCCTCCTTATGTGTCGTCTCCATACTATGTTCCTCCTTATGTGTCGTCTCTGTAATATATCCGTCCTTATGTGTCGTCTCTGTAATATGTTCCTCCTGATATGTCGTCTCCGTACTATGTTCCTCCTTATGTGTCATCTCTGTAAAATGTTCCTCCTTATATGCCGTCTCCGTACTATATCCGTCCTTACGTTTCGTCTCCGTACTATATCCGTCCTTATATGGCGTCTCCGTACTATGTTCCTCCTTATGTGTCGTCTCCGTACTATGTCTCTCCTTATGTGTCGTCTCTTTAATATGTCTCTCCTTATGTGTCGTCTCCATACTATGTTCCTCCTTATGTGTCGTCTCCATACTATATCCGTCCTTATGTGTCGTCTCCGTACTATGTTCCTCCTTATGTGTCGTCTCCGTACTATGTTCCTCCTTATGTGTCGTCTCCGTACTATATCCGTCCTTATGTGTCTTCTCCATACTATCTTCCTCCCTATGTGTCGTCTCCGTGCAATATCCGTCCTTATATGTCGTTTCCGTGCTATATCCGTCCTTATGTGTCGTCTCCGTGCTATATCCGGCCTTATGTGTCGTCTCTGTAATATGCTCCTCCTTATATGCCGTCTCCGTACTATATCCGTCCTTATGTGTTGTCTCCGTACTATATCCGTCCTTATGTGTCGTCTCTGTAATATGTTCCTCCTTATATTCCGTCTCCGTACTAAATCCGTCCTTATGTGTCGTCTCCGTACTATATCCGTCTTTATGTGTCGTCTCTGTAATATGTTCCTCCTTATATTCCGTCTCCGTACTAAATCCGTCCTTATGTGTCGTCTCCGTCCTATATCCGGCCTTATGTGTCGTCTCTGTACTATGTTCCTCCTTATATGTCGTCTCCGTACTATATCCGTCCTAATGTGTCGTCTCCGTACTATATCCGTCCTTATGTGTCGTCTCTGTACTATCTTCCTCCCTATGTGTCGTCTCCGTGCAATATCCGTCCTTATGTATCGTCTCCGTGCTATATCCGGCCTTATGTGTCGTCTCTGTACTATCTTCCTCCCTATGTGTCGTCTCCGTGCTATATCCAGCCTTATGTGTCGTCTCTGTACTATCTTCCTCCCTACGTGTCGTCTCCGTGCTATATCCGGCCTTATGTGTCGTCACTGTAATATGCTCCTCCTTATATGTCGTCTCCGTACTATATCCGTCCTAATGTGTCGTCTCCGTACTATATCCGTCCTTATGTGTTGTCTCCGTACTATATCCGTCCTTATGTGTCGTCTCTGTAATATGTTCCTCCTTATATTCCGTCTCCGTACTAAATCCGTCCTTATGTGTCGTATCCGTACTATATCCGTCCTTATGTGTCGTCTCCGAACTATGTCTCTCCTTATGTGTCGGTTCCGTACTATGCTCCTCCTTATGTGTCGTCTCCGTACTATATCCGTCCTGATGTGTCGTCTCTGTAATATGTTCCTCCTTATATTCCGTCTCCGTACTAAATCCGTCCTTATGTGTCGTATCCGTACTATATCCGTCCTTATGTGTCGTCTCCGAACTATGTCTCTCCTTATGTGTCGGTTCCGTACTATGCTCCTCCTTATGTGTCGTCTCCGTACTATATCCGTCCTGATGTGTCGTCTCCGTAATATGTTCCTCCTTACGTGTCATCTCCGTACTATGTTCCTCCCTATGTGTCGTCTCCGTACTATATCCGTCCTTATGTGTCGTCTCCGTACTATATCCGACCTTATGTGTCGTATCCGTACTATGTTTCTCCTTAAGTGTCGTCTCCGTACTATTTTCCTCCTTATGTGTCGTCTCCGTACTATATCTGTTCTTCTGTGTCGTCTCTGTAATATGTTCCTCCTTATATGTCGTCTCCGTACTATGTTCCTCCTTATGTGTCGTCTCTGTAATATAACCGTCCTTATGTGTCGTCTCTGTAATATGTTCCTCCTTATATGTCGTCTCCGTACTATGTTCCTCCTTATATGTCGTCTCCGTACTATGTTCCTCCTTATATGTCGTCTCCGTACTATGTTCCTCCTTATGTGTCGTCTCCGTACTATATCCGTCCTTATGTGTCGTCTCTGTAATATGTTCCTCCTTATATGTCGTCTTCGTATTATGTTCTTCCATATGCGCCGTCTCCGTACTATATCCGTCCTTATGTGGCGTCTCCTTTCTATATCCGTTCTTATGTGTCGTCTCTGTAATATGTTCCTCCTTATATGCCGTCTCCGTACTATATCCGTCCTTATGTGTCGTCTCCGTACTATATCCGTCCTTATGTGTCGTCTCCGTAATATGTTCCTCCTTATATGTCGTCTTCGTATTATGTTCTTCCATATGCGCCGTCTCCGTACTATATCCGTCCTTATGTGGCGTCTCCTTTCTATATCCGTTCTTATGTGTCGTCTCTGTAATATGTTCCTCCTTATATGCCGTCTCCGTACTATATCCGTCCTTATGTGTCGTCTCCGTACTATATCCGTCCTTATGTGTCGTCTCCGTACTATGTCCGTCCTTATGTGTCGTCTCCGTTCTATGTCTCTCCTTATGTGTCTTCTCCGTACTATGTTCCTCCTTATGTGTCGTCTCCGTACTATGTTCCTCCCTATGTGTCGTCTCCGTACTATATCCGTCCTTATGTGTCTTCTCCGTACTATATCCGTCCTTGTGTGTCGTCTCCGTACTATATCCGTCCTTATGTGTCGTCTCCGTTCTATGTCTCTCCTTATGTGTCTTCTCCGTACTATGTTCCTCCTTATGTGTCGTCTCCGTACTATGTTCCTCCCTATGTGTCGTCTCCGTACTATATCCGTCCTTATGTGTCTTCTCCGTACTATATCCGTCCTTATGTGTCGTCTCCGTACTATATCCGTCCTTATGTGTCGTCTCCGTACTATATCCGTCCTTATGTGTCGTCTCCGTACTATATCCGTCCTTATGTGTCGTCTCCGTACTATATCCGTCCTTATGTGTCGTCTCCGTACTATATCCGTCCTTATGTGTCGTCTCCGTACTATATCCGTCCTTATGTGTCGTCTCCGTACTATATCCGTCCTTATGTGTCGTCTCCGTTCTATGTCTCTCCTTATGTGTCTTCTCCGTACTATGTTCCTCCTTATGTGTCGTCTCCGTACTATGTTCCTCCCTATGTGTCGTCTCCGTACTATATCCGTCCTTATGTGTCGTCTCCGTTCTATGTCTCTCCTTATGTGTCTTCTCCGTACTATGTTCCTCCTTATGTGTCGTCTCCGTACTATGTTCCTCCCTATGTGTCGTCTCCGTACTATATCCGTCCTTATGTGTCTTCTTCGTACTATATCCGTCCTTATGTGTCGTCTCCGTACTATATCCGTCCTTTTGTGTCGTCTCCGTACTATATCCGTCATTATGTATCGTCTCTGTACTATATCCGTTCTTATGTGTCGTCTCGGTACTTTGATCCTCCTTATGTGTCGTCTTCGTACTATATTTGTTCGTATGTGTCGTCTCCGTATTATATGCGTCCTTCTGTGTCATCTCGGTACAATGTGCGTCCTTATGTGTCATCTCGGTACTATGTGCTTCCTTATGTGTCGTCCTCGAACTATCTGCGTCATTATTTGTCGTCTCAGCACAATGTGCGTCCTTATGAGTCATCTCGGTACTATGTGCTTCCTTATCTGTCGTCCTCGAACTATGTGCGTCATTATTTGTCGTCTCAGCACAATGTGCGTTCTTATGTGTCGTCTCAATGCTATATGCGTCCTTATGTGTCGTCTCCGTACTATGTTTGTTTGTATGTGTCGTCTCGGTATTATATGCGTCCTTATGTGTCGTCTCCTTACTAAGTTCGTCCTTATGTGTCGTTTCCGTACTATGTTCGTCCTTATGTGTCGTCCTCGTACTATGTGCGTCCTTCTGTATCGTCTCAATGTTATGTGCGTCCTTATGTGTCATCTCGGTACTATGTGCTTCCTTATGTGTCGTCCTCGAACTATGTGCGTCATTACTTGTCGTCTCAGCACAATGTGCGTCCTTCTGTGTCTTCTCCGTACTATGTTCGTCCATATTCGTCGTCCTTATATGTCTTCTCCGTATTATGTTCGTCCTTATGTGTCGTCTCAGCACAATGTGCGTTCTTATGTGTCGTCTCAATGCTATGTGTGTCCTTATGTGTCGGATCCGTACTATGTTTGTTCGTATGTGTCGTCTCGGTATCATATGCGTCCTTATATGTCTTCTCCGTATTATGTTCGTCCTTATGTGTCGTCTCAGCACAATGTGCGTTCTTATGTGTCGTCTCAATGCTATATGCGTCCTTATGTGTCGTCTCCGTACTATGTTTGTTTGTATGTGTCGTCTCGGTATTATATGCGTCCTTATGTGTCGTCTCCTTACTAAGTTCGTCCTTATGCGTCGTTTCCGTACTATGTTCGTCCTAATGTGTCGTCCTCGTACTATGTGCGTCCTTCTGTATCGTCTCAATGTTATGTGCGTCCTTATGTGTCATCTCGGTACTATGTGCTTCCTTATGTGTCGTCCTCGAACTATGTGCGTCATTATTTGTCGTCTCAGCACAATGTGCGTCCTTCTGTGTCTTCTCCGTACTATGTTCGTCCATATTCGTCGTCCTTATGTGTCGTCTCAATGCTATGTGCGTCCTTATGTGTCGTATCCGTACTATGTTTGTTCGTATGTGTCGTCTCGGTATCATATGCGTCCTTATGTGTCTTCTCCGTATTATGCTCGTCCTTATGTGTCGTCTCAGCACAATGTGCGTTCTTATGTGTCGTCTCAATGCTATGTGCGTCCTTATGTGTCGTCTCCGTACTATGTTTGTTTGTATGTATCGTCTCGGTATTATATGCGTCCTTATGTGTCGTCTCCTTACTAAGTTCGTCCGTATGTGTCGTTTCCGTACTATATTCGTCCTTATGTGTCGTCCTTGTACTATGTGCGTCCTGTATCGTCTCAATGTTATGTGCGTCCTTATGTGTCATCTCGGTACTATGTGCTTCCTTATGTGTCGACCTCGTACTATGTCGTCCTTATGTGTCTTTTCAATATTACGTGGGTCCTTATATGTCGTCTACGTACTATGTTCGTCCTTATGTGTCGTCTCGATACTAAGTTCGTCCTTATGTGTCGTCCTCGTACTATGGGCGTCCTTATGTATCGTCTCAATGATATGTGCGTCCTTATGTGTCGTCTCCGTACTATGTTCCTCCTTATGTGTCGTCTCCGTACTATGTTCCTCCTTATGTGTCGTCTCCGTACTATGTATCTGCTTGTGTGTCGTCGCAATGATATGTGCGTCCTTATGTGTCGTCTCCGTACTATGTTCCTCCTTATGTGTCGTCTCCGTACTATGTATCTCCTTGTGTGTCGTCTCAATGTTATGTGCGTCCGTATGTGTCTTCTCCGTATTATGTTCGTCCTTATGGGTCGTCTCCGTATTATGTGTTTCCTTATGTGTCTTCTCCGTATTAAGTTCGTCCTTATGTGCCGTCTCCGTACTATGCGCTCCCCTATGTGTCGTCTTCGTACTGTGTGTGTCTTTGTGTGTCGTTTCCTTACCATGTGAGGTCTTATGTGTCGTTTCCGTACTATATTGTAACTGTATCATGTCAGTTCTTGTGCGTTGTCACTGTACTATGTCCGTCCTTGTGTGTTGTGCCTAGACTTTATCTGTCTTTATCATGTGTGTTGTCGCTATGTTTTACTGCTATATGTTCATCATTGTGGTTTGTCTGTCATTTCCTTTGGTGTTTTCGCTATGCTATGTCTCCCAAGTTCCTTTGTTATATTAAGATTGTGATATTACCTTTATATTCTGCAGATTTCAAACCTGACCAATCAGAATGCCGACTGATGCAGAAAGTAAGTAAAATCATTTATGGTTAATTGATAAGAATGATTTTAATAAATGTAATGTATTTGAATTTGTCTTATTGCAGTTATAAAAAAAACATTCGTTTGCCTAATTGTTCTCATCGAAAGATATATCTCAGCGATTTGTTTTCACCTAATCACAACACACGTTGTCGAAGTATATGCTATTAAACACCAATCGTTGTCTGTTTTTTATTTGTCTTTGCGATACTAATGTTTGGCTATCCTTATGAAATAATTTAAGTCGAATATGTGATAGCATGTAGGGGATGAAAGTTTTGTGCGGGAACTACAATTTTTTCAACTGTTCATACTACTACGCAGGTCAGAGTTGCTGATGGAACAACGTTTTTAATATGAATTGTTTTTACATTGAAATAAAATCAAAAGTTATTTTCAGTTTCTTAACTGCAAAAACTATCGCATTAACTATCCTTATGTTTTGCTCATTTGTTTTTTTCGCTTTACTGTTAAAGCTGCATACACATTAACTATAATGTGTGAAATGCATAGTTGACTGCAATTGTGTGAATAAAAACACCACCGATAGATCGCCTGTTAGTTGTTCGATAGGTAGATCACTGGCTAAGTTACCTGTAATCCAGGTTTGCTTCCTTTCACAATATCGTCAAGAATGACATTGGTAACAATAATCATTCTAGTCTCTATTATTTTCAGTTTACGGGTATGGCACGTTAGCCAACATTTTATGCTGTCTGTGCTCCCTAGGCGGGGCATTTGTGCTACCATGCGCCAGGAAACATCACAACGCGTATCACGTGATTTTGTCCGTATTCATGGGACTGGCTGTCGGCACTTTGGCTTCTGATGCACTTCTCCATCTCCTACCGGAAGTAAGATTTTCTTTAAATATTTATAATTGTTATAAACTTATACGATCTGTTGTTACATGCATAATATATATCAATGACATTGGTTTTAAAGTTATTGTCTTATTATTTTTGAGGTCTTTAGATGAAGTAATGAAATATATATACATTTGTTTTTAATTATCTAATATTGTTGTTATTGTTTTGTAATTTCATATTGATGAAATAATGAAACATATCTAAAATTTATAAATTATGCAATATTGATTTGATTTTAAACACTCGTGTGTTGTATAAATGATTTATAAATATTATAAGCAATTATATAGTAAGATAAAAACTAAATACCCGCACCACATACACACAGTTATTGTCAAGTCATGAGTATGACGTCACTCACTACGTTTACATAATGATGGACAAATTCTCTAAAGCTGCTAATCTGTCACAATAAGAAAAAAAGGATAGATGCATATAAGGTGAATTTACGGCCCCGTGATTTAGGGATTCTCTATATACAGAAGTGTCTCGTTGTGAAACATGCGAAACATTTAGTTTGACGCTTAATTAAAAGGGATTTTGATGCCCATAAAGGGTCATTTCTATAAATCGCTTATTTAATATGAGATCAACAAAGGAACTAAACGCCTGAACGTTTGGTTGAAACGTTTTAATTCTATAACTATATAAATATACACCAAGAAACCCCGCCTCAGGGCAGTTTATTAAAGCAATATCAGAAATACGATAGGGAGGCGTCCATTTGGTCATTTCAATTAAAGAAAAGTTAACTTGATCACTTAACTTCCCTAAATCAAATATATTCTTACACACAAACAATACAAAAAAATATTATTGGACAATTATTTACATTTCATTACGTTTTTTTCAATTTTCGTACTAATCATTAAGTTATGTGCCTCGAACGGACAGTATTAGCCAACATTCTGGAGGCCGATCAGTAGGCTATCTTCTGTACTATGTGATTCTACTATTTTGGTTTTGGAAAATTGGAGAAGTGTACTTTTTATCAATAGTGTTTAAAAGAAACCCCGAATTTCATTCCATTGCTGTTTTTTTGTCGAGAAATATAGATCATTTACAAACGTCTTTAAAATGTTGTTCTAATTAACAACACGATATAATGAATGAAATTAATTGTAATGACCACTATTTAAAAATGTGAATTATTCAAAGGATTTAATCATTGCTTTCATATCGAAAATTGTGTACTCGCCCCTTGTCGTTAAAATAAAAGATCTTCAATATAACGCACTGAGACCAGGTTTAATGACTTTGTTTCGCAACTTAGTTTTATAATTTTCCCTACAAAAGTGTTGAAATATAAAGTTATTAACACTTATCCCACAATAACATGGTGAAATTAAGACTGAAAAACACGTTTTCTGGTATACACACTTATCACCATATTGCTTCAACTAAACAACTCGTGGTTTTTCAAATGAGTTGGGGGAAATAAACATCAATTTCTAGTTTACTAACATACCGATCAAAGTTTTAACTTAACTGAAAGCGGACACTCAAAGTCCAGGTATATTTGGCATTATCATCAGCATTGATAATATCACGGGAACATGTATACATATACACAGAGAACGAGAGTGATGCAGTCTTCAGACGCATGACTTAATGTGCCATATATAGACGTTTACGTGTGGCACAGCGCCCGGGGCCTGGACGCATTTGTATATGTTAACAAGTATATACATACATGTGTACTTCACCTATGTTTATTTTCAGGTCTTTTTACTGTGTATCAGAAGATGACCTTTCACGGCGGACAGTCATTTAGATATAAAAATGAAGTTTCGCTGTGCCAGTGACAATTTCATAATATTGTTTTTGCACGTTTCATTCATTGCGGTAATTTGCCTTGCTAAGACGTAATATTGTTATGACTTATCATGTGGTGTTATTTGTTATGACTCGGACTATCATGACTTGACATGGTTATACTTTGGCTTATTTAATGTTTAACTCATGGCTCATTGTAACATAACACTTTCATGGCTTAAACTTTTATGACACATTGTGATAAACATACCTTATTGTGGCAAACAGTGTGAAGATTTGGCATAGTATGACTTTGCAGAGTTATGACTGGGCTAATTGTGACATAGCATTGTTATGGATTGGGCTCTTCTGACGTAACATTGTTATACACTTTCATTATTGTGACGTAACATTATTATAAATTTCATTATTGTGACGTTACATTCTATGAACTAGCTTATTGTGATATTGCATTGGTATAATGTATCTAATTGTGATGTTTTTATGCCTCAGCGTTTTGTAACGTAACATTGTTATCATTTGAAAATAACATGTTATTGTTTAGCTGATACGCTATATAATTATATGACTTCAAGTATAAAATATGATGAGGCAATTTGAATATGATAATTCCTTGTCTGAGGAACCTGTTCATTTTCTGTATACGGACATTTGTTATTAAAGTCCCTTGCTTCTTGAGGCCGTACTTTCTTGCTGGCTCGGATCAACTTATCTGTCGGCAAACCAATAGATCGAATTAAACAACATGAAATGAAAACGGTTGTACTGCCACCGTTTATTCAGCAACATGTTTGCGTTATACATGGGGATTGTCAACATATCGAGAGAAACACGAAGGAAAATTTTGTATTTAACTTCAATGGCGATAAGTGAGAAGGGAAATAAAAAGGATCAGATAAATATACTTCGTCTATACTCGGGTATATAAAATACATCTCAGATTAAATGGCTGAATAAGTCTTGTTGTTTTTAAGCTAAGAAGGAATGTTTGGTTAGAAAATGTTAAGTCACTCGTAAACCATACACAAATTTTATAGAAGAATTTTCAAATTCCAAAAGTACTAAGCTGGGTTTAACTAAAGTTGACTAAATATGTAAATGACATTATAACTAGGACGATGTCTGTCGCATAATGATTTACGTCATGATTGAAATGCATGATGGTATACAACACAGCTTTGTTAAATCATATTGCATACACTGAGATATGTTTGTTTATACACCACATTGCATGCACAATACTCGAATTATCCATTGATACGTGTATGTTTATTACTGTAGGCACTTTCCCTGCACGATCACAATGAAGAAGGAGAAGATCACATGGCCAACGACACACATCACGATGATCATGATGATCACGATGATCACGGTGAAGATATACACGTGGAACCGTACGTCTGGTACTGTCTCATTGTGCTGACAGGTAAATAAGGAATGTACACTATCAACCAAATGTTAAAGAAAAAGCAATTCAACATATGCCACGACTAAATATTGAGATGCGGATATTCGCCTTTCAAAAGATTGCTTACTTCTCTTAGATTTTGATATTCTAACCTGACACAGTGCAAAATTGGTTGTAACGGTGGGTAGGGGCCATACATGATCGTTTCATGACCGATTCAATTAACTGTGTGAGACTATTATTGAAATCTACTTGTAAAACCAATGCATATACTCTATAATCACAAAAACCTATCAAATATCTCAATTTGTTTTAGCTTTTGTTGGTTAACCGTGGGGTCGGTTACTGGCTGGCTAGGCGAGGGGGTGTCTCATTGGTAGAGCTCTAGCCGTTTCCTTACTCGGCTTGAGACACATTCATTTTCGTTCAGTCAGTACAGCATTTTACAAGTACTGTGATTGACTCCTAGCGGAGACAAGTAAAAAGAAACCCATTTGTATAAAATCGTAGGTGAAAAGTACTGCCAATAGAACAACATAATCTAAAATTTGAAAGGATCACTATAAATACGTATGAAGCATGTTTAATATTTCCCCTTATTTATGCAAAATACATTTCATTAAACTTGTGATTCAACAGCTGCTGTCTACCGGGCCAAAGGCATTGCTATGCTATCATAACATGTACAGTTCATGTCAAAACGGACGTAACAATCCTAAGACTGTTGGAATTGTTAACAATAAATATTATACCATTGTCATAGTTGTGATTTAAAACTGAATAATTCGATGATTAACTGCAATCGTTAAAACATTTTAACTATTGATATTTCGGGAACTATTGAAATATAAGTTTCTAATATAGAATTTATAGGATTTTAACCAATGAAAATCTATAATACAAGATAATCGAATACAAGAACAAATCCGATAAGTTGAAATGTATGAGTCTGGTATTGTCATTTCCTATGACGTCATATAAAGCAGAGTTCTCGCCTCACAATTTAAAGAGATTTTGAACTCCAAGTAATTGTGACTGGACATTTTTTCATTACAGTGAACTTGTAGTCGTGCACTTGAGAAATACATATGGAATTCAAATTGAAAAAATTATATTCCTATACATAAACCCATCAATTGAGATTAAATGGGGAAAAAATATTAAGAAAACAAGTTGTTTTGTGCAGTATCATAATTAAACAGTTAAAATTAGGATTAAGGTAAATATTACCAAAATTTAGACCAATCAAATATTTATTGTATATCCCTCGCTGACCCTCTCCCTATTTAGCCTCAGATCAAACGGTACTTTTGGAGTGTACTTTACAATAACGACATTTGACCCACTGGCCATTATGAATAGGCGCGTCCTACTGCCTTAAGGAGATCTTGCAAAACAGCCGAAACGAAAGATTTTTGAGGCATTCTATAAATACAAACATTTTACTAGATTTATCACTGTGCTACCTGTAACACATTTTGCAAGTTTAATCTTAATTTGATACTTTAAACCAAACATAAACAGTTGAAACCAAACAAATTTTTCAATCAAAATTAAATAATAAAACAATTATATGATTTGATATTAATGTTATTCCCACTGAAAAGCGTTATAACTTTTACCAGTCAACAGGTTATAACTAATAATCCATAGATTGTTACTTTGAATCAATAAAGTAATAACTATTTATTACATTTTTGCCAGTGATATATCGTATAAAGTTCTACCTACTTAATAAAAGTGATTTCTTTTACGCATTGACAGTTAGCAAAAGTGATCATTTCTCAGTGTGAAGACACTACTTTGTCATTGACCAATAATAACGGTGCTTTCTATTCACGTCGTCCAAATTTATTGTTCGGATATAGATGAAGCGACAGGGTATTACTATTATTCAGACAGTTAAAGTTAAAGTTAAAGTGTTAAAGTTAAAGTGTTAAAGTGTTAAAGTTAAAGTTAAAGTGTTAAAGTTAAAGTTAAAGTGTTTAAGTTAAAGTTAAAGTGTTAAAGCTAAAGTTAAAGTGTTAAAGTTAAATTGTTAAGTTAAAGTGTTAAAGTTAAAGTTAAAGTATTTAAGTTAAAGTGTTAAAGCTAAAGTTAAAGTGTTAAAGTTAAAGTGTTAAAGTGAAAGTTAAAGTGTTAAAGCTAAAGTTAAAGTGTTAAAGTTAAAGTTAAAGTGTTGAAGTTAAAGGTAAAATTATTTTTCAATACATGAGCCGATAGAGTTCCTCTACAATGGACTCAAAAATTAAACAATTGTTTGATATAAAGTTAAAGTTCATTGTTATCTAAATTTGCCTTATAATTATGATAAAGTTTTTCATTCTGCCAAAGTTTATCTACTCTGTTCTTAAAAGCATTTATATTTGGAGCGGATACAACGTCTTCCGGTAGGTTATTACCGTTTATTAATTGGTAATTATAATTGATCAAGGATTTATAAATATCAATTTATAGGTTTATAATATTTAGCAATGCTCAAATGTCAGCAGTTGTTAACATACTAACAATAGGCAAATATCTATTGCCTAACATGTGTATATCTATTTTACCAGGTATTTATGCTTTTTACATCCTGGAGGTTATCATGGCAACACTACACGCAAGAGGAGTAAGTACATCCTTCATCAAATTGCTACAACAATTGTAAGGTTGGCATAATTTCAGGTTGTCTACATTATCTAATATATTTAAATCAGCATTCACAATGTCTACCATCAGATTCTTATGTATATCAGGAGAGCGTTGTCCCTTTCCTGCCAATAGATTCGGTTCTGTATGTCGCTTTTACGACACATTTTGCGATTGCATATACTGAATATAGTATCCGCTTTCAATATTATCTATGTAAATAGTTATTATGTTTTACATATTCATTTGTAATAAGAATCCTATCATCAAATGATTTAAAAGAAAACCAAAGCGCCTGAAGGTAAATCGATTGCCCTCTTTTATATGCACATAACAATACCGAAAACCCCGCCCATGTATGTGTGGAATGTAGCTATATGCAATGTACGTTGTCGTATGTTGTTAAATAGAGGTTAGACAGGTAATGATTAATAACCTTCGAGAAGATTAATGTTAAAGATTTTCAACTTATAAAAATATTTGTCTGAACTTAAATAGGCGTTATACAGTACTTGAATTATTATTTTTTCATGTTTATTAGATTTTGCAGCAAGACACTTATCATATATCAAAACTTAAGTGATGTATCAAACAGCTGGGTCACATGATCTGTGTTATGTAAAGGCAGAGATGTATATGAAACCTTTTACATTATATCTATGATATATGTTAATATTATCGACCGTACTTTTTATATTTATGTTATTTCATATTTGTTTTTATTTTATTAAGATCATCAATTATTTCGGTATTACCAATGTGTTATCTACAGAACATTAAATAATCATAATATAATTTACAACATTGATATAGCGCCCTATATGATAGTAATAATATAATTTACAACATTGATATGCGCCCTATATAATAGTAATAATATAATATACAACGTTGATATAGCGCCCTATATAATAGTAATAATATAATATACAACGTTAATATAGTGCCCTACAATTTTGCAAAATTTCTCTAATGCTCTTTACAACACATGAAAAATATTAATTTTACAGTGACAATTATAAATATAGTGGTTAAAAAGGGCGAAACAATTAGCATTATACACAAGGAAACAATACATATATCTCTATATCCATATCTAGTGTGTAGATGACGTATGTGCAAAAGATCCTAAAATGCAGACGTAAAATGGTGTGTGTTTATATTCTTCTGGAGTTAAGTCAGCGTTTTTGACTTCCTGGAAGCAGATGATAAGCTTTTCCAAAGCATAGCCGAAACCATTCCAAAGCATCGTTTTCCTTAGGTCACAGTACGTATTTTGGGACACCCAACACGATTTCTGTCTCCAACTGCAGTGATCGTGATGGCTGTTAGAGGGTGACAAGTTCCTGTAAATAAAAAGGAGCTGTTCCATTCAATGCCTTATACGTGTACACCATTTTTTATACTGGGACCTGCATCGTATATGGACCCAGTGCAATGCATATAACACTAGTATGATGTGCTTTCGAAAAGACAATGCGTTCCGGATTCCCTGCTTAAGCTTTAAATGTTGCCGTTATCCAAGGAACTGATGTCTGTCAGACAAGCCTACAGAATTTCTGATATGGTATTCAAACTGTCCTGTTGTTTGATAATCATGTAAATTTGTGTGTCGTCAGAATAACGACGATAGTGAAGGCTTTAGCGTTGACGATTCTCTCCGATAGGTTTAGAATATTGCCGATATTTTTCGTGGTTCCAACACCGACCCTTGAGGAACCCCGAAATCTTGTATGTTTTCATGTGAGGTCGTAGAACCTATGGCACACACTTTCGTCGTTCACTCAAATAATACTATCCAGTATAGTGCGTCACCAGTCACTCCATAAGAATACTTTTGACGTGCTTCAAGACATTGCTTTAGTAGGTTGGGGGAAACAGATCTAGCTCATACGATTTCGATGGTTAGGTAATGATGATATTGTGCAACTTTTCCTGGGTTGTTGGTGAAAGCTTTGTCAATGGCTCTACTGATCGTGCTGATCTTCTTCAGAAAATAATCACATAACTTGTTGGACAGTTCTTTTTTAGAAGGTCAGCTGGGTTTGATGTTTTGGTACGTCTAAAAAGCTGTCTATGGTCCTTACCACATTCTGCAATTCTTTTCGAATAAAAGGCCCTCTAACATTGAATGCGAAGTGAACTAACTAGCCGGCATTGTTCACTATCAATCACCGTTGGTGAACGGTCAAGTTAGTCCTTCGCCAAGTGGATCTGGGTTTTTTCACTCGATGGTTTTTTATTATACCGTCTGTTGAGTCTAGCATTTTTGAGGTATTCATGTCCTGTTGGTTTTAGCTTAGCTAGATATATATAATACACTTTTGTATCTTTCGGATATGTCATCATTGCACCAGTCAAATACATATTGCCATTCGTAGTATAAAGAATATTTGATCCATAATGTATTAAGGATGACAAAGGTGCCTTGTGTTTTGGATAAAGGCATTACTATAATACACTTAAAAAATCTTTTTCCATGGCTTAACCCTTGCAGTATCAGAACAAGAAGTTATGGGACAAACAAATAAGTCTTTCGGGAACATGGAGAACATCCACCATTCAAATTTGTATTATTGTATTTAATCAATTTAAATGTAATTTGTGTACATTTAAGTTTTTCCCGGATAATTAAATATGCTGTTAATTGTAATAAAGTAAGAGTCGCAAACTAGTTGTAAAATGTGTAAAGCCTTGATTATTTGCACGTTATACATATTATGTGCATTAATAGATAATAAATCCGGTAACGCGAAGAGAACTGACACCACTTCATGTAACATTAGCGTAGGAGGACCTAATATGACTGTGTCTCAAACATATAAACCACATGTCACAAAACCACGTTTAAAAAAATAAAGATAGAAATATACTGTTTTTATTTTGTATTATCGAATCAACCGTTACTGTAGAATTCAGTTTTTCAAAGCGATATAGACTGAGTATTTGTTTTATACATTTTGCATCATGTCAATCGAGAAATGTATCATGTCATAAACTAATATGATAACTCAACAACGTGATTTTAAAAAGAAATCTTGTAACAAGTATTTCCAAAAACAAAAAAGAATAAGACAGTGCAATTACATGTAACCTGCAGATTTTTTAAAACATCGCCCTCTTTTCATGTTTTAGTTTGAACAAACACATATAGCAATGTTATTTTTATCATCGCCCTAACAAGGTTTCAAATATTCGGTATTCGACTTCAAAACACTCTTTTGACATGGAATTCAATACAATGTAAAGCATGAGTTTTACCTGTAATGCTTCAAGTCTAAGAAAAACGAGTTAATAACTGAAGCATATCAACAAATATGTCTCTGTCACCAGACAACTGCCAAGACGGACATAATGGATGGCGTGGGCAATGGGTTCAGTGAACAAAAACCCGAAACATTCCGAAAGCTTGACGAGGTGAGTTGTGTTGCATTAAATAAAACGTTTGATGATAACGCATTGCTAAGACTGAGAAATGTAATTGGTTAAAGAGAGGTTTAATTATGAAAATCTGGAAGTCCTGGTATTCATTTGGTTGCTGTCTCAAATTCGACATTATTTTTCATGTGTCTTTTTTTCAACATTGACAATGGGTTAAATGTAAGAAACAATGAAATATGAAAACTTAAATTTGTAGTTCTGATTAAATGTACACCATGTCTATGTTGGTCATAAAAGGCCATTTGCAATAGTGTAAATGCCGGTATCAGCGTTTAAAGGTATGCTTTGAAGAACATAAAAACAATGTATCATTTTAACGTCGCTCTCGGGAAAATTGAAAACATTTTATCATTTTAACAAAGTTTTATTGAATACTGAAAATGAGGTGTAATATTAATTTATTGTATAGAATATTAAAAATTGTGTATCATTTTAAGATTATAGGACTATTAAACTTTGTATTATTTTACAAAAATAGTAAAAACTATGTATTTCAACGTTGTTTTATTGAATAATAAAAATGCATCGTTTTAATTATATTTTACAGACTATTGAAAACTAAAATAACTTGAAAAATACTGAAAATTACATACAGTGTACCATTTTATTAAATATTGAAAGTGTATCATTTAAACGATATATATCATGTAGAATATTGAAAATTATTCTGTACCTTCATTGTATCTACCTCAGTATCTTAAGTGTATCTACTTCAGTTCCTTCAATATATCTTCTTCAGGACCTACAGTAACCTACTTCAGTACCAGGAGGAGATTTATCGGTTGATGTGTCACAAATAATGCATTAACTGTCAACAGCCATATTGCAGTATAAAAAGATTGTCACTATTTTTAGAAATACATTATCTTGATATGAATTGTAATAAAAGGTTAAGGCCATGCAATTTTTAGATTCGAATAACACGAAATGTGATAGCTATGAGAAATCTATTCGCATAATGTATCGTACTCGCGGTCAGGTTTAGCCCTTAGCCATTATCTATACATGAGGCAATATTATAGCCATTGAAATTTTCCGTGATTCAAATGTGATCGTTTCAGAATATTTCATTTTAGCTTTAATGGAAATCAAATCAGTAAGAAAATTAAATTGGGAATGATTTTCTTATGTACTGCGAAATGAATGCTTTGCTATTGAGGGGGTTATCAGGACTGGTACACACGTCTTTCCAAGTCTTCAATTTCACTTCAAGAGACGACGACTATGTGTTGCCTTTAGATAGCAAAAACATATTTAACACGTCAATCTTTGATACCCTCCTGAACTTGAAATCAAAGATTCGGTCGTTGCCTTTCTTGATAGTAACAACCCTACTCCTACACCTAAGGCATTTACATGTCGCTGTGGATTTGGTATCCAATGGCTTGCTCTTAATACATGATTTGTTTTTAAATATATGTTATCTGCTGACGGAATTTTTTTTTTAAAGTGTTCAAGAGATGCAGATTGATGAAAATAATGGGCAATATTTTTGGTCGCCATCATGATGTCATTGACATTTCTTTGTGTAACTTGTTAGTCGATTTTTGTTATTATTTTCATTATTGTGCTAAGTTGTTGCTACTCCGGTTGTCAATTATAGGACGTTACATTATTTGAATTGACATAGGTCGGTATTACGAGTGTCGACGAGGAAGCAGAAAAAACGTTCCGAAACGCCTGGTCTTACTCTCCTTGTACTTTTTCAATGTTGTCAGTGTAAATTGTTTAAGGTACATTAACTCCTATAGTACTACATGTTATACTAAATGTTCGTATCGCGTTTATGACTGAACGATAAATCGTAATTTTAATTAAATTTACAAAATCAATTAAAATGTACTTTAAATCATATGACAGACGGATCTTTCAATGTTGTTTTGATGTTGCATTGCGTAACATTATGAATATATTAAAGCACGCGTTTTACAAGTTTGTCACGTAAATTGTTGTAATAACCTCATAATAAATCCTGCTCTATTAACGTATGGACGATGTAGGGAGTTTCCCGGCAGAGCAGCCAATGTCGCATTAACTGTGATAAATGATCCGATTCATTTCTACGGGCGTTAGTGTACAGTAAATGACCAATGTGTTCCTATTTTTATCTTATCAATTATGATCTCCGTTTGATGTCTGTTGCTTTACCTTCATGTTATATTTATGTTGACAACGAAGTCACATCTCGTTTTTCAGAGAAGTATATAAATGTATCTACAGTGTTACTGGTTTTTCAGGAATTTCCCCGAATTTACAAGTTTTTGTTACAATGTGGAAAATACTAGTACATGTGTACATGTTTTCATTTATAGTTTTAAATTGATTTGTCTATGTAAATATTATTGAAATGAATTTCTGGGTATTTTACTTCTTATAATTATTTAATCACATTGACAACATGCCAACAGAGTCCAAATTTCAATTAATATTTTCAAAGTGTTGTAATATATTTTCAACGCTGATCTTTGACAAGGTCAATAGACATAGTGCTATATAAAGGTGGCATTGTCACAGCAACGAAAACTGTTTAAAGGTTTTATTAAATTAATAAAACCAATAGTCAGTAGAATTAGACTATATGCTTAATTTCACAGTTATTAGCATTGTTGTTACAACTGTTTTCGAATACAAGAAATTATACCAGATCGTGTTAAATTCGGATACAAGTGAATATTTCGATGGGTTACATATTTTCCATCATCATTAACATTTGTCAATAAATCAATATACTTAAGCAAATATCCGTAACACTGTGCTTGTCCTACAATCACCAGCCGATGCTGGGGAGGCTTTTTATAGGTGAAGTTTGACGGTGATGTATATAAGTACCAAGCCAGGTTGACACGACAGTTGCCCTATGTCCACAGTGTAGTTATTTATGTATAGCATTGTTTCATCTCATCGTCTTATATTATAACACCCATTTACTATGAACAGCAGCCCGAACACACATCGTATGTACATTAGATATAAATATATACAAAGTTTTGGTAGGATTTGTTTTATGTTATCTTACGGCAATGGATATTAACATAAACTCATATTATATACGATTGAAGAGAATTTAAAATTGTTTTACCACTTATATTTCTACAGTTTTATTGTTCGTTTATTAGATTTAACATTTATGCTCAACAACAAAATATGTCAGATATATTTCTGACATCAAGTCGTTTGACAGCAAACAACCGGAGAAGTCTGTGTATAGTGTGTACGCATTGCATAAATTACCTGTATAAATATTTCCCTCGTTAGCTGCTACACGTGTGCATTGTAATCATAATGCATAAATTGATGCGGTCTGTTAATGAAGACACGGTAAAGGTAAACGTTTAAATAAAATATGAAAATGCAAATTCAACTTGTAATTGAATGGATAAAATTACTTAATAATGAATTGTTAGTGATAAATAATAGTATTTTTTATTCAAGCATCACCATGCAACCAAATGATATCGGCAAGAAATGGATATTAAAGTTGTTCTTTTTGTTGCTAACCCATGAACTTAACAAAAACCTGACGGGCGAGGCAACACTTTGGTCATGAACGCTGTCTGTCGATTAGTACATTAAGTGTAGCTATAGAACCAAATTGTATTTTTCGGAGGGGGG